TACAAAACCATCAGTTGACCTAGTATAGATTTTTAGAGTCATTACACCACCACACGAACAACTCTCCTTTCCAAGCAAGCCTAAGTCCAGGAAATACTGAAGGACACTATCCTCCAATTGCAAACGTAACCTTGTAAGGGCACGCAGTGAAATGAACCAAGCGCTATACAACATTGAACTATGTTAGTGAATCCCATTGGATAATTCAACGTCGTTCGCTGATTGGTAGTTACTGGTGTCTAAACTTTAACTTGGCCTAATTGTTTTTAAGCTATTAATGAATTAGTACTGTGTAGAAATTTTGGAGATTATTCACGTGAACATGTTTGGGAGACAGAAGCCATTGTTTCTAGTTCATTTTTGGTTGCCGTTATTGTTGATGGCTCAATTGGTTACTTAATATGTAGGAATCTAGAAAAAGTGTCTTTCACGTTCATGTTAACAGCATGCAACAATCTACGAATGAATCCGGTGAAGAGAGCACGATCAGGGTTGATATTATCAAAGTTTTCGAAGAACTAATTAAACCCAGAGAATTTAGAACCTGGTTTGAAGTTTAAAAAGCCTTGAAGCTTTTCGACAAGGTGTCTGTTGTCAGCTAAAAAATCAGAAATATTGTGAGAGAATCAAAATCAAGCAAGGATGAGCCACATGTGAAGTATGAATGTGTGGTGTTTGTATGTACTTTTGGAAGCAAAATTAGGAAGCAATAGGAAATCCCTAAATGATTGTTAATGCCTAGTGTACTAGATCCAAACGCACGAACTAGGACTGCCTGTAGTAAACGCGGTGTTAACAACCATTTTATTTGTTTCAAACGATTTGAAAAGCGGATAACATACGATGATCTGGTGAGCATTCGGTAAGAATTCAACTAGCAAGAATAACTTTTCGGATTTTGGTCTACAATCGGTGGTTTTTTCGAAGTTACAACAAGCTGAGAAGCTGATTACTATTCGGGGTGAAAAAATTGGCTGGTTACAAATTGGCTGTTTCAGTTCAAATAATGAGATTCCTATTTTTCGGATGCTTGTGATTTCTCCGTGGCTATCAACAAGGTCTCCCATGATATATAAGAAAACTTTAAATAAATTTTCCTCGAACCAATGGTCTTCTGTTTCTTGGCGAAGCATCTATTGAGACGATTAGGTAGCAAAGTAGTATGTTCTGTGATTTAGAATCGTAGTCGTTGAGTTTCGGATTTATATCGCGCATCTAATTGCTATAACCCTATGAATAAAGCTTTTTCCTCATGGTGCATCATGATATCTAGAAACCATGAGCACACTGCCTTCGATAAATTTATTTTTACTTTTTAACTGACAGCAAATAGTGAGTCATTTGAGGCGATAGGATAAGTACCTGTAAACCCTTCGTGAAGGGATTAGGATATGTTTATTTTCTCGACTAGGAGACGATCTTTTTACCCGAAAAGCTCTCAGGATGTCCGCTTTTACTTTGTAGTTCAAAGATAACGTTGAGTTGCTCACTTAGGTAGTAGCAACAGAAGATTAATTTCAGGGGGAACTACTTTAAGGTAGCTTTAGATAATGCGTCATAGAAGTAAGCAGCGTAGGTTAATTGTGTCTAAATATATTAAACGTCGTAAAGCTGGTCAAATCGTAGTTCTCACATATGAATTAGGTTTTTAAATATTGAGTGCTACCGTACTAGCGTTTACCTTGATTTGCATACCTAGCTCATGCATGCGTGTGGTATACATTTAAGGCTAAGACGCTGTGTGATGAATTGGTCTGAGATACTTAATGTCAGACTTGTTTTCTGTACCACCCTCATCAATTTTGCATCGGTCATAGGAATTAACAGCCTCATCTAAGTTTCTTTTACATCGGAAACTGAAATTGACAGTCTGACATTTGGAAGGATTTAGTTTAAAAGCATTTTCTGACTACTTATTGAGAGCTGTTCATTTTAGTACAGTGTAGATGCGAATTAAAAGACACTGGAAAAGTTAGTCCGTGCACTTGACATATTTCATTTCGTATGCTTATGTACATTAAGTTCGTCAAAAAAAATACAATCGGCAGTGGACGACTATAATGGAGAAAATGTTGTGATGCAAAACTGCAGCTGCATCTAAAGTACTTCTACTGTGTTTATGGGCAAATTATTTGAGATCGTTAAAGGCTTTAAGTGAAGGTTGAAGATTAAGTAAGAGTAACTTTTCCATAGCTTTTAGAAAAGGGGAGGTAATAGCAATAGGTCTAAATTTAAAGCATGTTCCATTAGACGACTTAGGTACAGGTACAATTTTAAAGTCCTTCCGAACGGCTGGCACAACATTTCTGGAAAAAGATTCATTAAATATGTGAGAGGATAATACAGGATATCTGCATATTTTTTAAGAATAAGGCTAGGCAAACAATCTGGAACTAGGCTACAAGAAGGGTTCAACGACTGGAGATATTTTAGGACGTCATTTGTATTGAATCCGAGGAAGCAACTCTTATTAACACTTGTGACGCCAGAAACCTTGGCATTTGTGGGAGAATGTATGAATGACTTGTTTAACGTACACACCTCAAATGAACGGGAAATACTGTTGTAATACTGGAGGTAATTAGATGCATAAAGACGTGAGTTATTTAATATTCATAAGGTAGATATGCAAACACCGCAGTTGTTGATCATAGAAATGGTTGATATTAGATAACATCACATGATTCAACGGCATATTAGAAATAGGTGGAAATTGTTTCTTTGCTCACTGTCAAGTACACAGTCTATTCGATGATGTCACTGCATATTAACAGATTAGTGAAGTAGCTGTCAAGCCTAAGTTATTACATTTACTTGTACTTCATACTTGGCGTTTAACAGTGTACAGAGTTGCAACTGGCTAGATAAGGCGATTTTAGCGTATCGAACAGTACAGAATTATTATTCAACTTGCTAAATCCTACTTAGTTTTTACAATGTGCTACTGTATAGAAACAGACACGAAATCTTACGAAGGGCTAAAGTATCAGTCTCATAATACTATTTTAAATCTCCATCCCACTAATTAAGCTTAACATTCACTTATTACAAAAGCACACAGTATAGCGACGCACTGAAAAAGTCTAGAGGAAGTAGAATTGAAGAGTATATTAAACATTTCACTAATTTACAAAAGAAAACCCCGATGAAGAGTATTAACGTTAGTTTGACCGAATGATATTTCCGCTGATTTCATATTCGACAACCTCCGTATACCTGAAAAAATAAAGCACATGTAAGGACTAGCACAACATGAAGTTATGAAAGATAATTCCACATAATAGCACACACTATGAATACACTGAGTCTGTTAATACTAAGTAATATCTCATGCAAATAAATGTATTTGTAGTTTACAGCTGGTTTTTATATTGACACTATAAGCATCAATAGACCTCAGTTGTTTACCAGTATTAAAGGATTATACGCAAATATCAAAACAATCTTTGAAACTTCCATACTGTTGAGGCGTCATACTCTCATTAGCCTTAGTTGCATATCAACTTCACACTAAATACGTTTACATTAAATGAAGTATTGCAAATGTGTAACTTAGAAATTTATCCATAATCTCAGTAATGTCTAATGAGCGTAGTTTTATAAATCCTACAGAAATTACATTCTCACATTAAGGAATCTGTAGCCATTAAATATAAGCTGAACATGCTTCAACTATACACAGCTATGCACAGTGTTAGCAGCATAGAGAAACACTTGGAATATTGTAAGATACGCAGACCTGTTGTGTTGATGAGAATAACAATGACATATAATGCAACCTAAACTTTCAGTCGTGATGCGGCATCTGTACTGCTTCATGTTAATGGAAAACTCAGGAAAAATTCATCACTATTGGTGATCAAAAACATTGCAGCATTAAGTTTACAGTGCCAGTGAGAATGGCATAACAGCTTATATTTTTATTACTCTAAATTTATTAATTATTTTTATAATATTCTTCGCAATTTTATACGGAGGAAGTATTAGGATATGTGTATACCTATAGTCAAAATATAGCGGCAACAACAGACAGTAGATTGATAGTAATAGAGCTGACTAGATTCAGTTCTCATAATCGACACAATCCATGTGTATAATAATACTATACACTGAATAAATGCACTAAGTGGCACAGTAAGGAAATTTAAACGAGTGATTGCCTTCTTCACTGCACTGCACTTGCAATAATCAAGACAACCACCTACGTTTGCTAGCCAAGCAGTCAGCTAAGGAGACAATGGCAAAATTAATTAAAGTTGAGATATTTTTTATACATTGTGTCCACATAATTCATATTACGCTACACCAAACAGTGTAAATATACATGAAATACACTTGAAAATAACCTCCCAACTTACGATAATCCCTGTCCAAACACACATACGGTGAGACACATCTACATTAATACTTCTATTCCCACAGAAGGTTCTGTTAGCATTTACAGGTGATTTTCATGTACTGATAGAATTCTTTCGTCAAAAAGGACTGTTCTTCACACGAAAATAGGCTGAATTAATATCCTGAGGCGTGAAGTCTCCATTGAATGATACCATGCCGAAAGGTACGGCATCTAAATCAAGTAGACTATTTGTGTAGATGACATTACCCTTCAACTATCCTATCTTTCTCATTATAGCGATATTTTGCTACAGTTAGCCTGAAACACGGATGGTTGCAACCAATATGCTAGGGGGTGTCGCAGTCGGATTACATGACGCGGACACGCCAGAAAATGGGAATTCCCATCAATCCAGATAACATATAACACAATTTTATTGAAAATTATTGGCAAAAAAATTTTCAAGTGAAATTTTAACAGTTGTTCTAGAACGTGATATTTAACGTCTACCCTGAAACCATAATAGACCAGTTGTTTGACTTATCACTCAGGAATAAACTAAAGATAACGAACCATTTTCTAACACGAAGAGGCTGCAAAAATTAGTCTGATTTATGTTAGCTCGTGAAGTGGAAATTGAATGTCGAATATCGACCTTGGAGGGCTATTTCTTCGTTGACGGGCGTTGCAGCGTGTCCATGCGGAAGTTTCGCGTGCTTTTGGTTTCCCCTCAACATTTAATTGAATAAACTAACTGCACTCAGAAACGCTTAATAATGAATATAGGCCCAATTAGTGGCTTGCAAATAGTAGATAATGAGTGGCCAGCACTAGGTGAGCTGAAGTCGGAATCGGTTGGTTCTAAACGGGTAAATCCTTAGATTCCCTTCTAAACTTGTTTGTTAGTTTGTAACCAGACCCAAAACCAAACAAAAATGGGAGGATTTGCCCATTCAACTGACTTTCTCAAGAGTCCACCACAGCGATGTAGCTTCAAGAGACCCTCTTCCCGTGGACAACGACAATATTGATAGAGATGATTTGAAAACAGTGAATAAAATTCCTAGAAGTTGTAAACTGTCATCGCGGGATGCTCCTAGTACCACGGTTAAGACACAGAAAGCACAATTCAACTCTCGTTGGTGTTTATACGTGAATCCGAATTTTGGAGGTGTGGAGATTTGCAGTTTCGCACCTAGAACAGGTTTTAGTAGGTTGCTGTTTTATTCTGAAGCATTTTAGACCCTCGTATAATCTCACACTACCGCCATCACAACCTTCTAAATCAGCCCTGTATTGATGAGAACAATGAATGTACCTCATGTGTATCTGAAAGACTGTCGAGAATTAGGAACCAAATTGAGTATTATTTCGGTGACAGGAATTTTACTCGTGATCGTTACCTCCAGGAGAAAATGACGGACGATGGTTTCGTACCTCTGAAAGTCATCGAAGAGTTCCCACGGATGAAACAGTTAGACGCTTCTGCAAACCTAATTATCCAAGTAACTTCCCTTTGCTTAGCTTATTCATATATAGGCGTGTTGTAACAGCAACGTCGTAGAAATTGACGCTGCAAGAGGGCTTATCAGACGTCGAGCACCTCCATTGGAAATAACCAAGGCATTTCAAGGTACGTTCTTCAATAATCTTAATGTTATATCAATTCAGAATGCGTGATGCCTCTGTCACAGTCTCAAGATGTGGACGGTGTTGCTGTCAGCGTTTCCAGTTCTTCCACAGCTAATTGTGATTCACAGAAACTGGATATTGATGAATTGGGAGATTCAAGTAGTCAGAAACATGATATGGTTGCAGACGGTAAAAACGACATTGACTGGCTCAGAGTCGAACGTCGCCAACGTAATCGCAACAAAACTCTGGCTTCACATCAAACTAATGCTTCTGTAAGTATGCTTTGACACATTCCCCAGGTCCGGCGTGATTTTAAAGGAAAATGAGGGACTACAGGTATTTCCCCTGGTGTCGTTTTCTTCCCCCATTAATTATTAATGGATGGAAAGTTCTCCTTACGAACTCATCAGGAAGTTCGCGGCGGTCATAACTTAAAAATCCGCTTGTTCTGCGCTCGTTTGTGTCTGTCACCTATAATATTCCTACAATGAGTTCTGCTGAAGATTTATAAAATTGATCAAATATCAATTTAATCATATAACAGACAGTGCGCTTGTTTCCCCAATTAACTCAAGAAGTAGTTTCACATTTTGAAACGTCAGTTCATATTATTAAATATGTTCTGACAAGCTTTCGTTGCTTTGAACTGTGCGGCAAATTGAATATGTCTACCAGCTTCAGAAACTGCTGCTCAAATAACAAGAGTACAAGACACTTATCCTAACTGATCAGCTAATACAATATTCAGATACTTAAATTTTGTGTTTTTCCAAATGTTCATGTCACAATGGTCAATAAGCGTCACGTACAATTCCGATAGTTATCACTAGTCTTAAGTTACTTATCACAACCCTTCATGATTAATCCGTATTTTCTGTAACTTCAGTGGCTATCACTTATTACTTGCAAACTTATGTCGTTGAGTACACTTCAATTTTTAGGTTACAAGACACCGTCAGAGGAATGAATCTTCGTGTTCTGAGTTTAGTGATGTTGATGAAGATGAACTCCTCAATTATCTCATTGTTATTGTCCCTGAAAGAGCTGGCGGCCGCGCTCACGACCAAAACACAGTTGCTTCAAAAGTTCATTCTGCAAAATCTCGTTCGTCTGAATCTTGGAGTGAAAAAACAGATGGTGAGTGCAGTCACGTGACTGCTGCATCAAATTCTAGTTCAACTACCGATAAAAATCAATCTTCGCATGGGGGACATTCATGTAGTGAACACAGTGCAATTTCTTCCCGCCTACTAGCCCGACATCCAGGTGGTGACCGCCATCCAAATCCAGATTACCAGTCTCGGTAATTAAATTCTTTATTTATGACTTTGCAGTGTTTATTTCTCGTGATAATTATCGATTTTTTGTTACCAAGTAGAGGTGGGCATGTTTACTTTTAATTACTAATAATACTGTCATGTCAGAAAAGTGGCTACAAAGTCTAACAATAAGGATAATAGAAATGTACCGACTCTTGGTTCATTAGCTGGTTGATTTTCTTATTGTTTTGAAGTGGATCAGTGCTATGTTTCAAAGGCGTGTGTTCCACTTCATTGCTTATCAAAGTCTTTGTGCTCCGAATTATTTTACTTCCTTCATTTCTGTGTGGATGACTTCACTTTCCTAGAAATGATTTCGTCATGTTATGCCGACGACTTAAGACTTTGTCAATCGTGCCTCAAATGAATTACCATATGAATAATTTCTTATCTGAAGTTGATTAGTGGTCTTTCTTAAATGACCCTGAGCTAAATCCTATTGCAGTAATTTCCAAATCCTATTTATACAAGCTCCAGGCGTGAACATGCCTTGTGTTCTGTCTGGCTTCCATTAAATTGGTCTCATTAGCGACATCATTGCACCTGGGAATTTACTGCTTCGGTTTTAGTATTTGTAGCAGGCCTTAGGTTAGGATTCTGCTGCATTCCGGACCGAAAGCTGCTACCTTGACGTGGTGGTCGGGCTTGCATATCGCAATGACCCAACGAGCTACACTGGCTGGAACTTAAGTTCCTGTAGGTCCTACCATGCCAGAAAGGTTGTTTGGATAGCGGTTAGACAAAAAGCAGCTACCCAATCCAATGCCATGACTCAAACAAAAACACAAAATATCATGCCGGATCGGTCGGGGCCCGGATTAACAACGACCGCGCTTCCTGCTGCCGTGTCACAGGGCAGAAGTGATAAATACGCTACTGAGACACACCAAATAAAAAAGAACAAACATAAACAGGCCGTGTGTGACCGGCCTCAAGCAGTTGTCCCCTGGGCTCTGCGGTCACGCAACCAACTTCCACGGTGTGGGCAGCCGGGAAGTAACAATCGCCCTCACAATCCGAAGTGCACACGAAACCTCTCTAATCCTCACTCACCTTTGTCTTCATCTTCATCTCCATTATCTTGCCTTCCTTGTACCAATGCAACTCCTCTACTTGATGGCTCTTCACTCTGTGTGCACTGATAACGATGGAAGCCAAAAAGCCACCATCGATAGTCTCCTAAAGCCACGCCACCAATTTCATATAGGAGCATTTAATGTTAGGACTGCCTAGTCATCGCCTTCCTCGACGGGCAATGTTAGCTGATATAGGGCCAGGCTGGAAAAGAGCTAGCGGCGGTCAAACGAAAACATGGCACCAGTCAATGAAATCCACAACAGTTAGTCTAAGCCACGTAGGAAGGTGTAGACTTCCTGGTTGGGGTCCTCGGGACGGTGAAAACCAATGGTTGGAAACAATTGGTGACATGGCTCAAAATCGTTCTCAATGGCGCAGATGCATCCACTCCTTGTGACTCATGATTTCCAATGAAATTTTTGTTCTTCTTTATTACTATTCCTTTGTCTCACACCTCTGTTTACTGTCTATATTATGCATTTCTTCTACTTTCTTCTCTTGCTTTGTGTGCTACATGGAGTGTGGCGACTTGAACTGCCGCACATATGTGCAAAGTTCTATGTCGAAAACCGACCGACCGACCGATTCTGCTGTATTGCTCAGCCTAGAGTACTAAACACTACTGATAACCCTCACACTATTATGACACAGTCTGATGCATGAGAAACCCTACCTAAGCAATCGGTTTCCGATTCATTGATCTTTTCAGTTTGTTGCGTGTTCTGTTAACTTAGCGAAATCTCTTGTTCAACCTACTGCCTTAAAAAGCAAGCAGAAATCATTATATATATATATATATATATATATATATATATATATATATATATATATATGAAGTTTATTTAATAAAGTCATCTTGGGACTAAAGAACATGGAGAATGTGCTCCAAAGCTTTTTTCAATAAGAGGCATATTGCTTTGCTATTCAACTATGCGAAGATAAATATGTCGCAAATTCTGGTGCGCTCATATTCTTGATTCCTAATGCTTATACTGTCAGTCATTTCACGCTAGTTATTGTACTGAAATGTTTGGTGGTAAGTCGATATTACTTCATCGTAGGAATAATGCTCCCTGGCTTCAATTCACTGAAATTCTCTCAATTTTCATATTTTAGTGCCAAGATAAATGCAGACATGTTGCAAAGAATTCGTCTTGGGCTTGAAGACTATGAACAAAATGTTAAACGAGAACGTTATAACTCTATTTGCGAACTGGGTTTTGAAGATGATGTGGGGGAGAATATTCCTTTAGAGTCATCAAGTGAATCATCCAATCACTCTGTTAATCGCTTGGAAAAGGTATGGTTACTGTTCTGTCTTTTGTGTATAAACTAATTTTTTACCATTAGTCTATTAATTGTGAATATTCAGAGAGATTTTAGCATGAGTAAAAGCAGCAAGTTGCTGAAGTCATGGTAATGGCAATGTAGTTGAAATTTTTTATTAGTATGATGATTGAAAAAGTGGAAATGTTTTCCACTTGCCCTTTGTGGAAGTGTATTTTTCTTGAAATTCCTTTTTTCCTGCAAACTACTAGATGTTTTTTCTACTCTGTTGTATGTTTGATGAAATGGTTCTGAACACCCGAGATCATTATTCTTTCCTTTAGTATTCTAAATCTTTATTAATCTTTCATATTTGTTTGTTCGTATAAATCCAGTTAAAGGTGTCAGTCTTTTGTGAAAAGTGTGAAATGCGCCTTCCTTGTATTTTTAGTCTAGGAATTCAGTTTTGTTTATGTACATCCTACTGATTGTATTAAGAAAGAATTACGCTGGTTCTTTCCAGCAACCTGAAATCGGAAATAACACACTGGTACCGTTTGTCAAAGTTTTCATTACGATTCAAAATTCTTTATAAATTCATGCATCTCTCAAGTACAAATAATTATAAGATAATGGCGGAAAACAGCAGTGATATCATTTACTGGGTTGTACACTTATGAACACATGAAAAAATGGTTATACCCCGTCAAGAATCAAAATACATTGAACATTGGAAGAAATTTAACACATTTGGTAATTATCATAGTAAAGTAAGATTAACGGTTTGTCAGACTTTGGTTGCTGTAGCATTCTGGGCTTTAATTCATTCTCAACAGTAAGTTGAATTCCTTCAGCTAGTAAAAATCAAATTATACACCTTTCAAAACGCACATCCCGTTTAAAAATCTCTGGAAAGTAATCTACAGCTAATATTAATTTAACTGTCGTCATAGGGTATGGTATATGCATAAGTAAAGTATGATGAGTATTACCACATCTTTGTGGAAAAGCAGCCTCTTGAAACTAATTAAATGTCCACTTTTGTGAATTACGCAACCTGTAATTACTGGCCAAAAATCTAAGGTAAGAGTCCTATATGAGATGACCTCAATCGTCAGACACTAAACTGAGTGCTTTTCTTGCTTAAATCAATACAATACACGCAATAAGTAAACTAAAGTCAAAAAATAGTTACTAGCAAATACACCGACCATTTATTGATTTATTTGCATATATGACGTATTTATCAACCTTTTTGTTTGTCCTTTTTCGGAATTCTAAGTTGTAGGTTTGTTTCAGTGAATTTGCAGTTGAAGTTTTTCTCAGTTATAACGTTATTTTTGTGTTTAAATTTAATCTGTACTGTTGTCATCCAAATAATATCTTTTCAATGCTTTGAATAGATCAACGTTGTTTCTCCAGAAGATTTCGTCAGTCTTAAGGAAGCCGCTGAATCCGGTTCAGTTGAACGACTCACTTATGTTTCGCTCGAAAATGTTAGCAATTTAGAAAAAGCTCATTCAGTTTCAACGCAATCAGAAAACTTTCAGACGCAACCTACGGTTGATTCTTATCCATCATTCCCCTTCTTCTATCCAAATGCATTACCTCCTGAACCATCATCACTGGTCACTAGCTCTATATGGATCCCTACTCCTCCCTATCCATTCTTCCCACTTAATAGCAGTTCCTCGGAAATCTGGCCGTACACAGTTGACATGACATCACTTACACCCAGTCAAGCTGAGCAACAGTTGGAAGCGGAAAATGCAGTTGCAGCCCTTGTCGCTGAAGTTTCCAGAGCAGCTGTTGCAACAGCTACTCAAAATCAAAAATCCTCAGTAACTGATAAACCTAAGAGCAAACATGCAGCGAAGCGGCGTATGACTGGTTTCTATCCTGCGAAATCTGCTGGTGCTTGTGAAAGAGATGAATTAGACGTTGGTTTCGCTTTTGATCTTTCAGCGCGACCGTCAACAAGAACTGTAGGAAAACAAGTATATAGTGCTGTTATAAATACCTCAGGTGATGATAGTCGTAATCGAGGTCCAAAAACGTTCGTATCGATGGCAAGGTGAGTTTAAGTTGAAAATTTCAAAAATAATTTTTTACTAGGGAATTGTCTTGATGTAATCAAAAATCTAATAGGCGCATCTAACGGGATTAAAGTATAAGATTTTCGCGCAATCTAAGCAGTGTGCTTTAATTACATTATTATAAAAAGGCATCTTCAATGTATGGATGTTCGCCTGAATGTATTCAAGATGGTAGTATACGGTCTTAAGTGTATACTAAAAGTGTACCTCTGCTACTCTACACAAGACGTGAATCACACTATTTAAAGGATTCTTGTTGTTACCCTACTTATTGTTGAGTTCCTGATGTTTCATTAAATAAGCTACTGATTTATAGTTTTAATTAGCTTTGCAGAAACTCACCCAAGTGGCAAGTTATTCCTGTTTACCTTTAATCCAGCATCACTGCATTTAGTATATCCCCAGCGAAATAATCATGTGGGCTGATTTCCTCCATTCCTTTGAGTTTCACGTGCAACACAGGGCTTCAGACTTGAGCTCTGAAGTCTCGGTAGCGGTAAATTTGTCTTTTACGGGATGAATTTGCTAGCTTTACGCCCAGTCTCCCCTCTTTACCGAGCTAACTACTGACTAGGTGTGGTTTAGGGGTGCATCACTCGTGAGTCGAACCTCGAACTATGTGCGCAGTTGGTCTGATAGTAGTATTAGTAGTTGATCTGACAGTAGTAGTCTGCATCTATCAGAGAAGTGCATTCCACTTCAAGTTGGATCTAATATTGCACTACTGCGAACACAATCCTTATGACTGCTCTTTTCATACTACTATGGCACCTAAAAGTTTTATTGAATCTAAAATTTGAAATTTCTTTGTAATTGCATTCTGTCGTATGCAAAGTCTAAAAATTATTCTTATTCTGTAAGACTTTGCATAGGTTTCTAATCAGTTGTATAATTTCTAAACTTGTGAAACCTTTCAATATTGAGGAATTTTAACGATTACTGCATCCGGCTAGTATTGTTTAATTTGCTAAGTGTTTTCGATATTTATAGTAATGAGTACTAGAAAGTGTTTTTTGGTAATAGTTTGTGCATTTATTGTCTCTGCATTGTTTTATTTTTAGTGACATTAATACATCTGGAACCACAGTTATCATCAGTACTACTCCAGCAACTGACAATGATGATGAACTGGGATTTACTGCACAAGACCCCATGAAAACTGCTCAACCGCAATCTTCTACTCAGAAACAGAATCATTCATCGACATTTGGGAACCATATGAGTCAATCTTATCTTAAAGCCAGTGGTCTGACTTCACGAGAGTATTTGCGCTATCGTTCTTCTTGCTTGGCAGATCGTGAAAAATCAGGTGCTGGACAATCTCAGGAGATGAATACCTTGTATCGATTCTGGTCGTTCTTTTTACGGGACAACTTCTTTCATAGAATGTATAAAGAATTCAAGCATTTGGCTCTCGAAGATGAAGCGGCAGGTTACCGTTACGGACTTGAATGCTTGTTTCGATTTTATTCTTATGGTTTGGAGCGTCGTTTTAAATGGTCCTTGTATAAAGACTTCCAGGTAAGCCGTTGTAGCTTTTAGTTCAATGTACTGTGAGTATATAGTGTGATAGACAGTCAAGTTGTTCTCACCTTTTTATAGTAGGTATTTTTCTCAGTGTTACTGAAAATTTCAACTTTAAGTAACTTATTAAATGTGTCAGTTTAAGCATCATCAAAGAAGAAAAATGAACTTGTATCAAATATGTTTTAAGCTGGTTTCATTATTCATGCGTACACTTGAACTATCCTCTTCATATCCTCTGAGATTTTTTAATGTTTGTTGTCGTTTGTTTGTCTTCATTTGACCTGAAGGAACAAGCACTGCGAGACTATAAAAACGGGCATCTTTATGGATTGGAGAAGTTCTGGGCATTTCTGCATTACAGTGGACGTAAGGTAGACATGAATCCTGAGCTGAAGGAATTACTACAGAAGTATAAGACAATTGAGGACTTCCGAGTTAATGTAAGCTATTTTCTACTTATGATATTTAATTTTAAGTTAACTACATAAATAATTTGTCAGTGAGTCAATCGATAAATCCTTTAATATATACCAAGTATTACTGAAAGATGTATACTATGTACACAAATATTTAGTTCACTAATTAATTCATCCTAATATAATAAGGAATCATGTGAAACAAATAATAAAGTTTTAAAGCCAGTGACTTCAGTATTGTGTGACACAAGTTAGAATTACAGAAGACTACTGGGTGTCTTCAGCATTCGCCCTACTAGTGAGCATCAGTTGGCATGAAAACTAAGTCATATTAGGCTTTCTTTTAAACAACTACTGACGTAGATAAACAAACGCTGCATAAAATCGCGTCTCGGATCTCAGTGATTATAATATACTCTTAGTCGATAGTTTTCGATAATTACTTAAGACTAGATCGTTATATGAGCTGCTTTCTTACTGATCAATCCCTGTATACTTCATCTTATTTGACCACACGTGACCAGGTGGCAGGCAGTAGCAGCTCCATTTCATGGTTATCTGAATTTGAATTGATGAGTTTATGTCCTAGTTTGCAAATTGCGAACAGAAAGTTGTGCACGTACTCGCGTGTAGTCTTTCATGTTTAATTACGCGCTAATATTTGTAATAAATATTTTGTCTTTGAGTCTGTTATGTATAAGTGTCAGACGTCGATGGTCGTTGAAACTCAGATTCCTTCTTTTGTCCCTTTTAAGTTGTTTTACCGTTATTCTACTTGAAACTCAGCGTCTCAATGCACACTCTGAATGTAGCAGTGTTAGTCGACATGCATATCTCTCGTAATTACGAAGTGACAAGTAGTTTTGCGTGATAAATTCAGTGCTATCACTTTTCATAGCTAAAAATCACAAATATATGAACTATGAGAATACATTTTTTCCTGCCTATGGTTTTGTTTTGCTAAACTCTGTCCAGTGTTTGACGTGTTTTCATTCACAAGCAAAAATGATTTTAAGACGTTTTATAAAATTTTGTGTGGAAAATATTTGTGTTCGACAGTCAATTTGTTTTTACAGTTATGAAATAAGTGTATTCTTCTGTTTAAAGCTTAATATATCTTGTGTTCGTTTCTATAGTTCGAAGCTCCTGATGGATTTTATGGTTACCGTAAAAGACTGCCTTCTACATCAGCTTCCGTACCTGCGAATGTTTCTAATAATCCCACTTCTCAACCTAACGTTTCCTCAGTTTGAATCGTATGAAATGTCGTATTTTATGTGTAATCAGTCAGGCGTTGGTGATCAATTGCTTGTCGTCTAACAATGATCCGTTGCTCACTTTGTACTTAACTCATTAGCCCAACCCCCCACCCCCAAAAGGTTTAATAAAGATAACACGCTTCTGTTGTCAACAACTGATTGGGATACTATAATTCACTGATGACACATTTTCGAGGTTTATTATTACTTATCTTTTCGTTATTATTTACTTAACCGTCATTTTCCTCCATCTACAAAAAATATTTAAAGCATTTCACCAAACATCTTTGCTGCACTACAGACTCATTTTCTAAAAGCTTTGTTAAAACTTTTGTACACACCTTTTTGTTTACTGATGATGTGATAATGTCATACATACTTTATTCTAGAACTTTTACATATTTAGATAAAAAATAGTCCCTCTTTTATTGTCTGTGTAATCGCACTGGAAAACAACTTGCAGCTATCTTTTTGTTATTCTTTGTATGAACTAAGCTCTTTTGCCTTTGACAACTGACGGCTCATTTGGTTTCCCTCTTTGTAACAGAGAAGCCAGTCTTTGAAGAATCAGTCGGTTTGCAAATACTTTGGTATTGTCTGGTTTTCATTGATAATGTGTAGTGAAGAACAAATCAATTAAGATGTTGGCACAGATGTATGTCCCTCTAAGCGGCTAACTTTCACCAGTTCCGAGAATCAAAGCTGTCTTCACATTGTCATGAAGAATTTTAAATAATTAATGTAATCATAAGGAAGGAAACTGGATGTTTGTCCAAGATGTATGAATCCGTCACTTGATATGTCATCGATATCCTGAATGTGACAAGAAATAATGATGTAGTCTTTGATGAGGAAATGTGGAACGAAAATCTGGGGCATAGCAGAATTAGAACTACTGGTCTGGCTGTCCACCAAATGAGCCACAAGACCCAGTGGCTAACTAAATCATTTATTCACAGACATCATGGAAAATGAGTGATACGTAACTATCTATTCACTGTCGTACAACCTACTCAACCAAGACTCCCATATATCTTGATCACACAGAGTTTGGGAGCAGCTTGTTAGTTAGTGGTGAAGCTGTTTGGGATAACCTAGGGTTGGCAACTGGTGTGAGTCCTGCTTCAACGTCGGTTTTCATTTCTGCTTCACTCACACATCCATCCAAAGCCATCTTACGTATTCTCACAAGAATAATAAGGAAGACTTGGTCATCTTTACCAGCTAGATAAAGGAAACCAGTATTATAGAAATCCAAGTTTAGCTTTGTTTGCCATGTCCTATGTCTCTGAAATTAATATTTTTGTTAGCATAAATATCTGTGTCAGTGCACATTATCCTGCAAATGTCTTGCATATAAGCCAGCTAATCTTATGTCGTTAAGCAAAGTCAATTGAAAACATTCTCCTGGGGAAAGGGTTAGTAGTAGTTAAAACAGAACATGGAATCATTCTGTCAAATCGTCGACTGTTCGTCTGAGCCACATAAGGAGGTGTTGACCGGCGTACTGCAGGCGCCTGAGACAAATGGCTAAAGACTTAAAATTGTTGTCAATGGCCCAAATACATTCACTCTATGAACTTTCAGATCAATTAAATTGTCATTATTCTCCATACAATTAATCTGTCCCCCATACATTTGGATTTTTTTCTCTACCTTCGTTTACTTGTGGACTGTAAAATCTTCAACTACTGCTCTTTTTGTGCATAGTCCTACTTTAAAAACTCAGTCTATTTAAACAGCTTGGTTTCAATTTTCTAAAAGTTCGTTAGGTTGTTGACTAGGGTGTGTACGGAAGAAAATTAATGGTTAGCCTTGCTGATGGTTTCATGCCAAAACAAACTTATCTCATGACACAAGAGAATAAATTCGATTATATTAGATGGTTGGAGGCGATCGGCAGGAAGCCTTGGACCTAGGTTTCGTCCTAATTGGCACTCATCGGCAAGGCGTATCTGCGACCTTGAAGGAGCTCGTGTCGCTTCTGAAATTCGAACGCGCGTCACCCAATGCTGCTGACTTATGGAATTTAGTCTGCATCGAACAAAGGACTAGACACATCACACTAGTTACTAGTGTCCAATCAAAGAGATTAAATTCATCGTTTCAAATGAAACGTCTTATCGATGCAACTCGGAATTCTTTAATTTATTTCAATGGATTAAAGTGCACAACAATATGAGTCTCGCCTCACAGTCGTTTCCGATTGTCTTGTACAAGCGCCCGACCGATTGCATCTACGTTGACGCGGTTGTCTGGCTTACACATCGCAATGACCCAACAAGCTACACCGCCTGGAACTATTGTTCTGCAGGTCCTACCATGCCAGGAGATTAGACTGAAAGCAGTGACCGGCTTAGTGTAAGAATTTTTTCTACACTATGCTGGGGATCTGTGGGCGAAACCGTACTGCTGGGGAACAGGGATGTGACAGCAGTAATGTGTTTCCTTCAGATGACCAGCATGCCAGCTGTGCTGTCTCTCCACTCCGGATAGAGGGAGTTAGAAAAGTTCAACCTCAACAATTGTGCATCCTGACTTGCCCTACGGAGGTCCGTAACCGGCGGTAAGTGCACTATTACTGAACCAAACTAAGAAACCAGTTCATACAGGCCGTGTGTGACCGGCCTCAAGCAGTTGTCCCCTGGGCTCTGCAGTCACGTAACACTAACCCTCTTTCTGTTTCAGGTACCCGAAGATTCAATCAACTTCCACGGTGTGGGCAGCCGGGAATTAACAACCGCCCACACACTTCCAAAATCACACGAAGCCTTCCTGGGCATCATTCTCCTTTACCCACATCATCTTACTTTCGTACTACAGTCAGGCTCGTGAGTCATTTTCACTTCACTCTGTGAGCGCAAACAAGGACGAGAGCCATAGAAACACCCTCTTAAAGCCACGTCGCCAACTTCATATTGGAGCATTTAACGTCAGGACTCTCTGCCAAATCGGACAACAGGCATCACTAGCGAGAACATTGGCATCTCGAGCCATAGATGTATGTTGTGTTTTGGAGACGCGCATACAAGACCCGAGTGTGGTTATTCAATTAAGATCACCCAGCCAACAAGGTGAATCTGCGAAATTCACTTTAGGGGAGTCAGAAGACCCCTCAGCTAGTTCGTGAGGACTCGCAGATGTAGGTATAGCATTGACTGTTGGGGCAGAAAAATCCCTCCTTGACAGTATCCCAGAAGATAGTCGTATGTGTGTGGTCTGTCTAAACGGTTCTGTTAGAAGAAGGAAGGGCGGGGTTACTTGTCGTTGTCTTTTCATAGTCTCCGCCTATGCCCCAACAGACTGCAGTTCAGATAAGCTAAAGGATGACTTCTACCAGAAACCGTCTAATTGGCTAAAAATAGTGAAACGCTCAGATAGAGTTGTTTCATATAGTTTGGTTCTTAAGGGTTAGTTATGTTTTTACGAGTTGGTTACGGATTGATACCAGCTAGAGAACCATTGAAAACTAGAGAGTACTGGACAGCTGTTCCATCCTAGTTTGGGAGTCATCAGCAGTACGCACCCACCGACTACACTGGTTGGGGTCGCCCTAAATCACGAATTGGTACAAGTTAGAATTCATGAGCCATTGAATCGGGTCCCATTGGCTGAATGGTATACGAGCTTGCCTTGTAACCGGAATGTCCTGGGTTCGAATCCCAGTGGGAGCGTACTGCCGATGATTTCCAAACTAGGGTGAAACAGCTGTCCAATGCTCCCTGGTTTCCAATAGTTCTTCAAGTGATATCAATCCGAGATCAACTCGTAAAAACAGTTGTTTTAGCAGGCGATTTCATTGCCCAAATAGGAAAGTTAAACCACACTGAGAAGTCTATAGGCGGTACGTATGGAGTTCCCTGCTGACGAACTGACAGCAGTGATCGTCTTCTACAGTTTTGTTCAGAAAATCTTCCGTTCCTAATCAGCACTAACTTTGGACACAAAGACAGAAGTTTCGTAACCTGGTGACCTCCATCACCAAATCAACGCTGAACTCAAATAGGCAACATAGCGACGGGCTATCGTTAGCAAGTGTCAATAGAAGACTGACGCTCCTTCTAGAACACGTGCGTGGACTCGCGCAAGTTTATGCTTACGATTAAACGGACACAAAAAATTTTTGGCAGCAAGACTCTTCCTGAGGAAGCCTGGCACAACACACAGTTAGCTGTAAAAGCTGTTGATAACCTGAAACCAACAGTTAGTAAGAGCCTTTGGATTTCTACTGCCTCATTCGAACTAATCGACGCAAGAAGACTGATTCCGGCGACCTCCGAATATGATCAGGGGGCGAAAGCTGCTCAAACGCAAACTAACAAGAAGCCTTCGTAACGACCGTGAACAGTGGTGGGTGACAAAAGCGAAGGAGATAGAAAAGGTATCGGCAATAGGTTACACCAGACAACTATTTAGGCTCATTGGGAAAACAGATGGTAAAAGGCAAGTGATAAGTGAAACAATCTCTGAGAAAAATGACGCCATAATTAGCTGTCAGGATAGACGACTGGAATGTTGGAAAGAACACTGAGGAGCAATTTAGTTGGCCTACAGCCACGCTCAACTTACCCAGCATGCAACACCTCTCTGAATGGGATATAGACACACAGGGCCCCCGTCCCTAACTAAGGTTACAGAAGCTGTCACTGGTCTAAAACCAGACAAAGGGGCAGGACCTGAGGGAATGACTCCACAGGTGTTTGGGATAGCGGAGACAGTTTATTGTCTGCGTTAACTAAGGTACTAGCCAGCGTCTGGGAATCAGAGGAAGTTCCATCGGGTTGGTATAAGTCATTGAATATCCCGATATACAAGAAGGGAGACAAGTCCTCCTGTGGTAATCACAGGGGGATTAGCTTGACTAATATGTTATCTTAAGTTCTAGGCTCAATAATCATGCGTAGACTAAGCGGTGCTCAGGAGGAACAGACACGAGAGAACCAGGCAGGCTTTAGATCAGGAAGAGGGTGTATTGATCATATTTTTACCCTTCGAAAGATTCTGGAACGTAGGCATATTTACCAGCGTCCAAAAGTCATCATATGCCTTGACCTGAAGGCGACATTCGATTCTGTCGACCGAGAGGTACTATGGTAATGCTTGGCTTTAAAAGGAATGCCGAGAAAATGCATTGCACCGATCAAAGGCACTCTACTCGAACTCATGCAGTTAGCCAGGTAAGAGCTTCCGGTGAGTTGTCATCTGAAGTGGTGACAAGTAGTGGTATCCGTCAGGGATACCCACTATCCTCGTTTCTATTCAATTTCATCATGGATGTATTAATGAAATTAAACCTAACTGACTTCAGCGACTCAGGGATTGAGTTGTTACCAGGGAATAATCTCGTTGACTTGGAATATGCAAACGATATAGTCCTTGTAGGTGAAGAAGCTGACAAAATGCAGTCTTCTGAACGCCTTGAGTTGCAATCCGCGAGTGTTTGGCATGCGATTCGCTACTGCTGTCAAATGTAAGGTGATGCTACAGGACTGAACTATATTGGCTCCTAGATTTGAAATAGGGAGTGAAGCGGTAGAGCACGTTGACCACTTATTTGGGAAGTTGCATCAGCCAACGCCAACGGGTTGATCGCTGACGAAATCTCAGCACAGATACAGAAGGCTCATTTCGCATATGCCAGTTTACGCCGTCTCTGGCGTAGACGTGATGTCATAGGTGGCTATCTACCGAAGGGCGCGTGTAGTGTTCGACAGTCTGCTCCTTTATGGCTGTGAAACCTGGCCATTGAGAGTGGGAGACATGAGACACTAACTGTCTTTGATCATAGGTGCCTGCGTTCTATCTTCCGTGTGAAGTGGTATAGTAGGGTAAGCAATGCTGAGGTTGGGCATCGGTCGAGTGCTAGGTAAGGAGGGGAAATCAGTCGACGAGGTTGTGAAGCTACATCGACTGAGATGGTTAGGACATGTGTTGCGCAAGTCAGCCTAGCCATCTCTTTCCTCAACCGGAATTTTCAGCTGATATAGCGTCAGGCTGGAAAAGAGCTAGCGGTGGCCAAAACAAAACATGGCATCAGTCAATGAAACTAACAACAGTTAGTTTAAGCGAGCCAGTCACGTAGAAAGGTGTAGACTACTGTCTGGTTGGGGTCCTCAGAACAGTAAAACCCAATGGAGGCTGGGGACAATCGGTGACATGGGTCAAAATCGTTCTCAATGGCTCAGATGCATCCACTCCTTGTGACTTATAAATTCCCAAATTGAGTCATAAGAAAAAAGGCACAAACAGCGAAAAAATTTTCTTTTCGACGATTCATTTTCATGAGCTGTACAATCGTAATTATAATTAACAAAGAAGTCTTTAGACCAATCAGATACTGGTAAACTTTGTCCTTGAAAAATTGTATTACATAATGTAAGGTGTAAGAAGGGATGACTAATTGTAAGTTAGAAAGGAGACAGAAGTTGGCATGACGCAATAAGTGTGAGATAATGACTAATCAATAAGCTCGTGTAGAATGGACAGGAACTAGTGGAAAGGCTATAAAGTGTTTTTGTATAAAATCTGTATGAAAAAGCAATGTTATTAGTAAACAGTAATAGAGTGGTAATAAAATGTGGATGATGGGAATAATAATGACAATAAAAGTATCAATAATAATAATAGTGAAATTACATAATAAAGGAAAGAAGCAAAATTGTAGTAAGAACTTTACTCTGGCCATGGTAGGACAAGAGAATGTATGTATCGCTTTTGAATGCAGAGGTCCGGTTTCAGATG